TGAGCCACGGCCAGGCCCGGCCTCCTTCCACCCGGCCCTGCTGTGCGCGCGGCGGGTGCTGACCTGGCGAGGCCGGACAGGGACCAGGTCGGGGTGAAGGTCACTGACACCTGGACTTGTGGCCAGTCCTCGTTGTGGTCGGAGTGGGAGGCCCACGGGTGAGCAGACGTGTTTTGGGTGTGAGCACGGAGGAGGGGTGCCTCGGAGAGTGTCGGGGAGCAGTGTTGGGGGTCTCGCCTGCGGAGTGGAGCGGGGGAGGGGAAGAAGCAGGCACCCCTGTAGCCTGGGCTTCCTGAGGTCATCTTGTCCCTGCTCCCCGCTCCAGACTGGGCTGTGTCTTGGCCATCCCCCAGGCGGAGGTGGGGAGACCGGCAAGGGTTGGGAGGTGGGAAGTTGTGGGTTCTGGCTTCTGCCAGGGCACTGGGGCTCTGCCATCGGTGCGTGCCTTTCCTCCCGCCAGGCCCTCTCCGAGGGTTTGTGGGCGCTGGGGCTCTGCCACTGGCCTGTTCTCCAGTTGACAGTGAGTTTCCTTTCTGGGTGACAGGGCGAGCGCCAGGGAGGGGCTTCTGAACCCCACACGGAAGTAGGGGGAGGGTGTGGGGAAACGCGAGGGTCGGCAGGTGGCCGCGTGGCCAGGAGGGGGCTGGGGCGGAGAGACACCTGTAACACCCATCTCAAATCTAGGGGTGCATTCAGTATGGCTGTGTATGTGTTTTGCATGAGTGTGTGTGGTGCGTGTGTATGGAGGCTGAGGCTGGGGCTGTGTGTGTCACAAGATGTCCTGGCTGTGGTATGATGGCACCGTGGGTGGGGCTTCCACAGCTTTGGGGGCGATGCCCCAGCTGTCTCTGGGGACTGGAGCCTCCAGTAGGCTGTGGCCCGGGGGGAGTCCAGGCCTCTGGGTCTTAACTGGGGCACAGGCAGGGTGTCTTCCCCTCTAGAATGTTGGCGGTGAGGGCAGGGGGTTCTCTCTGCGCAGCCAGCACCTGGGGCCATCCGTGCCACCGCAGGGGCTCAGTAAGAGTTGTGGGACGAGAGCGTGGGTGGATTTGCCCCCTTCAAGACAGTACCGTCTGATTCAGAAAACAAGCTGCTTTAGGAAGAGGGCTGTTTGGAAAAGACTCTCGAACCATTAATCCTGTCTCTCACCCAACACCACACAGGAGACGTCAACACAGAAGGACTCCCACGACTGCTGGGGCCAAACGTGGGGGGTGGAAGTCTCCCCGCCACCAAGCAAGCCGTCAGTTCTGCAGCGGACACCAGCTGGGTGTCCAACACCATTCCAACACTGTACCTGGAGATAGCGTCAGATCCCACAGTGTGAGCGCTCAGCCCCAAGACACCTACACACACACACACACACCCCCACCCACCAGCTGGGTGTCCAACACCATTCCAACACTGTACCTGGAGATAGCGTCAGATCCCACAGCGTGAGTGCTCAGCCCCGAGACACCTACACACACACACACACACCAGCTTCGAGGGCCAGCCTCTAGAACTTCTTGCCGACTGGCCCGACATTGAGGTTCCCACTGTCAGAGGAACCCGTGCTCACCAGGCCTCTGGTTTAGTGAAACATGACCAGAGTGACTCCATCTTGAAGTAAGTAGGAGGCACTCACAAGGCACCTATAAGGTTAATGCTTATGGTCTAAAAATAGCCACGTCTCAAGCTGGCCACCAATTATAATTACAGAATATTTATGGCCATATGGGGCATCTCCCAGCAAGCCCGCAGACTGTCCAGATAACCCGAGAGCGCAGGCCACTTTACTCAGAGATAATGTCAGTGAGCAGCCTGAGGTTGGAGGATGAATGGTCACTGATGGCACCCACAGCCCCTATCTTTAGTGAGCGCATCTGCACATTCCAGGAGTGATTGCAGCTCCTTACAGTTTCTTGTAAGCAGAGGCACTAACAGAGGACCCGCCCTCCTTCTCCTGCTTTCTGAGCACGCCCCACTCTAGAACGGAGTCATTTCAAATAAACCTGCGTCTCTCACTGTGCTCTGTGGTTCACCAAAATTCTTTCCTGCACAACATCCAAGAACCCCTCTCGGGGTCTGGATTGGGACCCTCTTTCCCAGCAATATTGTAGCCCCTCCCCATTTTGCGTTTAATTGATTTGCAAGAGTGGCTCGGGGAAGTCAGGGAAATACATTTGCAGTTAATTATAAAGGGATACACATGAGAGGCACCGGCGCGGTCTCCGGGAAGGGGTGGGGAGCTTCCATGCCACCCACGTGGCCCCTCCAGGAACCCCTGTGTGCCCAGCATTCCTACCCCCAGGGCGTGGGACGAATCCTCTCTGAATGACCCCCTTGGGGCCCATGATCAGAAAGGAGGGGGAGGACTGGAGTCCTGCCTTGGGGCAGGTGAAACGGAGCAGGACCCGTCACAGACATTCCATTTCTACCCGTAACTGTAACAAGGGCCAGGGAGTCCCCAGTCAGGAACCTGGCCGAACGCCAACTCTACTCATGCATCTACCTCCTTACAGAGCAGCCCTCCTGCTCACACGCCATTCCCTCCTCCTCACACGCCACTCCCTCCTCACACGCCACTCCCTCCTCACACGCCACTCCCTCCTCACACGCCACTCCCTCCTCCTCACACGCCACTCCCTCCTCCTCACACAGGACTCCCTCCTCCTCACACGCCACTCCCTCCTCCTCACACGCCACTCCCTCCTCCTCCACGCCACTCCCTCCTCCTCACACGGCACTCCCTCCTCCTCACACACGGCACTCCCTCCTCCTCACACGCCACTCCCTCCTCCTCACATGCCAGAGCGGAGAGATCATAAGACTGGGACGGGCCCGCTCTCATGTGGAGGGCCTTTGTTTTTTCAATTTTTAAAGTTTTGAATTAGGCAACCTCTGAACCAGAATAGGGTCGGGGAGGCTGCCATGACTGAGGCCTTTGGCCCTAGCTGTGGAAGAGTTTTATCCTGGTGGCTTCTCAGATGACAGGAGGAGGCTGGTGGGGCCTGTGGGGAAAAGTCCTGTGGGTCCGAAGGGCCGAGTGAGCGTTGGCCCCCAGGGTGAGCGCGCAGCCTTGACGTGGCCCTTTCCTCCCACATGCTCAAGAGAACTTTCCTCTTGCAGGACTGAGTTAGGTGCATGTGGTGTTTGGGGCACGTTTGCTGCAGGCTGCCTCCCAGCTCTGTTTCGAGTCTGGATTCAGCCATGACTGCTGTCAGGAGGGACCTGGCTGACGGCCTGGCCCAGCAGGCGGCGTCTGGAGCCAGAAAGCCAGATGCTGCTGCCCGGGGAAGAGTGAGCCGGGGCCTCCCGGAGCCCGGCGCTTACTGGGGCTGGCAGATGAGGCCACAGATGAGCTCTGCCCTGGCTTCTGGGTTCAAGAGGGAAGGAGCCACACCTGCCCTGTGTGCTCCTAGGACAGGTCAGCCACCTGAGACCTGCCCGTGGCCATGGGCCTCATCCTGCCCTGACCTTTCTCTGGTCACTATTCAGGGGTCCTGTGGGGGAGCGCCCCTGATTCTCGGCCTCCCGCATCCAGCCCCTGCTGCCGCTACCTGTGTCTCTTGGAAGACAGGGACTGTGGAGCTGACCAGGAGGCCTGACAGGGAGTGCAGATGGCAGGACAGGGCAGGCTGGGCTGGGACCTGCCTGCTGGCTCTGGCGGGAGGTAGGCTGTCTCCCAGCCTGGGCTCAGTGCGGGGAGAGCAGGCTGACTCTGGCTGGGCTGCCATGAGCTTGCTGCCTGACCTCCCTGAGTCCAGGCTTCCCGTTCCAACGTGCAGCTGCCAGTACTCTCAGGCCTGGTTCCTGCCTCTCCAGGGCACAGTCCAAAGTGTGTCAGCATCTGCTCCCACCACTGGGGCCTCAGGCTCTTCCTCTAACTTGCACTGCCACCTTGACCCTGGCTCAACCCTGACACCGAAGTTGGCTCCAGGCCTCCCTGAGTCGCTGCTTAGCCTCTCCTCTTGGGAAATCTTCCCTGACCCCAGGGGAGGCCCCTCCCACAGAGTGACTGAGACAGGTCTCAACCAGTTCAGAGGTTTACTTTGCCAAGGTTGAAGCCATGCCTGGGAAAAAGAGACAGAAGCCACAGTAGGGTGTGCAGCCCACTCCTTTTCCAAAGAAGGTTTTGGGGCTTCAATATTTAAAGAAAGAAGTGGCCGGAGGGGAAGGAGGAAAGGAAAAAAGGGAGGGTCATATTCCTGTGAGGCTGTGATCTGTATCCACTGCTCTCCAGGTTGCAGGTAAAAGGAGGGGGTGGGGCAGAGGAACAGTTGATTTGTGTTTGTTTTTCGTTTTTTATTTTTGTTTTTTTGAGATGGAGTCTCACTCTGTTGCCCAGGCTGGAGTGCAGTGGCACGATCTCAACTCACTGCAACCTCTGCCTCCCGGGTTCAAGCGATTCTCCCACCTCAGCCTCCTGAGTAGGTGGGAATATAGGCGTGTGCCACCACGCCCGGCTAATTTCTGTATTTTTGTAGAGATGGGGTTTCACCATGTTGGCCGGGCTGGACTCGATGTCTTGACCTTGTGATCCACACTGTTCTTCACTGTGGTTGTACCAATTTACATTCCTTCCAACAGTGTACAAGGGATCCCTTCTCTCCACATCCTCACCAGCATTTGTTATTGTCTGTCTTTTGAATAAAAGCCATTTTAACTAGAGTGAGATGAGATCTCATTGTAATTTTGATTTGCATTTCTCTGATCATCAGTGGTGTTGAGCAACTTTTCATATACCTGTTCGTCATTTATATCCCCCCTTCCCCTCCCCCTTTTCCTCCC